GAAGGATCATCATGAATCTCCTCATCAACTTGTACAACTTCCAGTGCAGCACCATAGGACACAACCAGATCCTATCCACCTTCATGAAGACACCTGCAGCCACTAGCGCGGACGTCCCTTATGAGAAGGTAGATCTTGTTGCGGGATACTTTGAAGTAGGTAGGGCAATTTCCCAAGACGGAAACGGAGTGTTCTTCAGAGGAGGATGAATCCCATGGTCAACTGGATGGGATGCTGGAAGAGAGTTACTTCGGAATAAGAGAGATTAATGAAAACAAGAAAACAGTTGCAGTTGAGTTGTTGGTAATTGTTATGATGGCAATAAGAGTTGTTAATCGTTGCAACAACACAGTAATACGACACAGTAATCCAAGGATAAAACAACACAGCACGACGACGCAGCGTCTTCTTCATTATAAATCCCAATTTCGAGATTTGCCACCATGGTCCCCCCTTTATTTTCTTTGCATTCGTTAGGAAGAACTTAGTTCAAGTGTTGCAGTACGTGAATAATGAATTAGAGTGTTGCAGTAAGTGAATAATGAATTAGTAGCGTGAGCTTGGCTGGGAATACTGAATTAGCTCGTTATTCCCGTAACTTACTGTAACTTCTTGCTGAGTTGCTGTATTTTGTGCAGTTTATACTATGTACCGGCTTCTACGGGAATGCAGTAGAACCCGGGTTTTCAGGTATCGAAAATGGGACTTTCAGGTATCAAAAACGGGATTAGAAAGAGAGTTCGCATCGCTCAACGGCTGTCATTGATCGGCAGCCACATACATTCCTATTCCCTCAGTCCTCATAACTGTATGTTATTGCTCCGTCTTAGTTGAGGAATGAATATTCTTCATTACAGTATACGCATAGAATGTAATCCCGCGTTTGTTGCACAGAAGGTTTACACAAAAACCACAAATCGATAGGAACTGGTGGAACAAGTACTGCCATCTACAGCGTTCCMATAAGGCAAAGACGAACCATCCTTGCATACTGCTCAAGGAAGTGAGCTCATTTTATTTAGTAGTGGTAACTTGTAAGCAGTTTAGTAGTAGTTTAAGTTTAATCATTGGTTAAAGAATGCCTGTTTCCTTCTCATCGCCATGGGATTCCTTCTCCTCACCACCATGGTGCTGGGGTTCGCGACGCTGACATTTGTGGGGCCGTGGCGTGGAAACGACGCCGTGTGGAGGCTGCTGCAGCTCCACGGAAGCAACGTATTGCGGAGGAGGACCATTGTAAGGCGGACCATGGTAAGAAGGTTGTTGCTGGTGGAAAGATTGTTGCTGGAAAGATTGTATTTGCTGTTGTTGTTGCTGATGCCAAGTATTGAACATGTTAACAGCAGCTCCAAGAAAATCCTTTGCTACTTTCTCTGCAGTACCAAACGCCTCCTTCCAGATCTCAAGATTTCGTTCCTCTCTTTTCTCATGGTTCTTAATGAAGTCATTGAATGCTGCAGCATCAGGGACACTTGATTTCTTCTGCTGGTAGGCTCTCTTCTTGGCRACAGGGGTTACCGATGCTCTTGGTGTCTCCCCAGCAACGACCGGGGGAGCTTCTTCCTTGACAGGAGGAGCATCATTGTCGTCTCCTCCTTGTTCCTCTCCAGCAAGAACAATCGGTGGTTGTGGCTCTTCCACTTCAGCAAGAATATCAGCAGTGTTGGTCTCTAAACCCTCCGCAGCCTCACTTTTAACATAGCCTTCCACCAGATCAAAGTCCTCCTCTCCAGTACCAAGATTTGCCCGTCGACCAATCAAGATGTGGGCTTCACGTGCCATCCTCAGGTAAGCCGGCATGTTTGGGTTCCCTGTGGAACTCTTGATCCTCTTTATTGCTGCATACTTGGTCWTGATGGATGATCTGGTTCTGAAGAAGGGCCAGGCTTTTGCGTGGTCAGCTACTATGCAATCCCACTCATCATTACTAATGGGAACTCTGTTGAGTATCATACCAATGAGACTGTCCAGCTCATCGTGAGTGTAGTTTGCTACTCCAGCCTTCCGGCCACCACCACTGTTGCTGTTGCCATTACCGGCCATCTTTGTGTTCAGTACACTAGAAAGACAATGTGTTGTTGAGTACTAGTATGCCGGTCGCGTCCTGCCTCCTCGTATTGCTTGATTGCATTGACTAACACACCACCCAGCACTGACCGAGACAGCATACTTTTATGTCCCTGGTGGGCACTGTCCCTTGGCGCCATTCTTAATAGAGGCGACTCCAATGTCGTTGATACTACTAGCTAGTATGGTGGCTGGCGCATGCCCGTGTCTTGTTGTTGTTTAGAAAAAAGAACCTAATTTTGTCGAGTTCTGTCTTAAGATTCTGGCGGGCTTTCTGTTGAGTCTTTCAGAATCATTCAACGGACTCAAAATTTTGAATCAGGAGTTCCATAATAAATTTTATTACTTTTGAAGGGGGTCAACGGAGCTCATCAAACGTAATAAATTTTTGTTATAAATGTGCTAAATTTACGGTCTGTCAGTCTATCAAAAGTAGCACATCTATAATAATCTATAATAACGGGAATCACCCAATGATTGTTGCGTTGAAAGGAAGGAAGAACTTCTTCTCTTTCTTCTTGATCGATCGATGAGGTGCCGTTACAGGCTGTCATGCTTAACAGCTTTGGTGGATGTCATCATCTATCATTCCGGCATTCGACTTTGATCCATCAGAATTTTTCTGAATTTTCAAAAACATACCGTACTTCCTCAAGTACCTTACCTTTTACGATTACGTACACTCGTTCTCGTACTGGCATCGTATACCAAGGGATCTTCCTGGCATGATACTCGCAGTCGAGGAACAGATAGTGTTCACTGCAATCCTAGTCTCTGTAAAAGCTTCATTTCTGTCGTGAATTCCAGTGCGAAAAAATGTTGCCTTCCAGAGCAGCTGCATCCACTTTTGCAACGCACAGGGAATCATCGCCCCCACCACAGCCTTCAACTGCTGTAGCAGACTCGACAACAGCCGTCACTGTGGAGCCAACTACGGCAGCGACAACCGCAGCAGTAACCRAAGCGCCATCCGTGAAAGTCGAGGAAACGGCTGTAGAGAAAATAGCCGAAACGGCAGCCCTAGTCGCGGACAGCGCTAATGCGAAGGGCGCARTGGCAGCTGTCTCTGCGGTGTACGACGGCAATGTCCTCCCCCCAAGCGGTGATAGGAACAATCCAACCGCAACTGCAGCTCCAAGCAACGATGCAGCTGAACTCCAAACATCCTCTGCATCGTCGACAGCTATTCATGGTGGCAAAACTGCTGCGACAAGCAATGCCACAACCGCCGTGAGCAACAATATACCTGCACCCGGTAGCAGCAATGGCAGCGAAAGCAACAATGCCAATGTCAATGCCTGCGATAAACAGCAAATCAACAAGCGAAAGGAACGATTGGAACAAAATCGCATCAGCGCMAGGGAGTCGAGAAAGCGCAAGAAGTCAATGATTGAGGAATTGCAGCGGACCGTTATTGCCCTCACGTCCGAGAACAAGGACCTGAACAGCCGAAACCAATCGCTGAGGTCTAACCTCGCTGGCATTGGGCAAAAGGTGCGTTTCTTMACAATTTTTGTTTCTTTTTCCCTTGGGAGGAAAACAGAATTCATGGGAGTAGTATCGTATTGTTGGGTATGTTCGGTCGCGTGGTAGTTACGTGGCCAATGAAGCTTGTTTCGTTATCTCTGGTATCCTAACCAATTGTTGCTATTGTCTATCTACTGATACATTGCGATGTATGGTTATGTGTTCTTGTTTGTTCTTTTGTGAAGTACCCAAACTCCGTTTCCATCCAAGCAATTCTGAGCGGGGTGCCGAATCCTTCCCCCCAGCAACAGCGACACCATCCCTCCCAGCCACAGCCCCACAGGTCTATGCCCAGCACGGTAGCAGCACCAGGAGCTCCCCACATACAGATTGGTGGCCCCACCATGACAACCAACTTTTTACAGCTCTCCCAGCAACAGCAGCATCAACTTACGGCAGCGGCCGCGGCTTCCGTTCCCCAGGTCATTCCCAACATGGCGGTGGCTCCCCCACAAATGCTTCCCTACATCTATCACATTCCACAGCCCCAGCACCACCCAGCGCATRCCCTRCAACAAGGAGCTCCGTCTACAGTACAAATGATGGCTCCTTCCGCGATGGTGCAAGCAACGCATTCCCTGGCCCTGGCTCCTATCCCCCACGTGGTCGGTGGTCAAATTCCCTCCGCAGCACCGACCACCACCATTGTGGGACAGCAGCAACCTATTGCCATTGCTCCGCAGCCGTCCCACGTCATACCGCCACAGCAGCAACAGCAACTGGTTACTTTGCAAACACTACCACAGGCCATTGCGCCGCTGCCGCCGCAGCATCAACAACAGCATCAGCAGCAACAACAGCAGCAACAGCAGCAGCAGCAGCAACAGCAACAGCAGCAGCAGCAACGGTCTTACCCACAACAAGCTATCCCACAGCAGTCCACCATACAGATTCTTGCACCATCCGTACCGCCGCCACCACCACAGGCTCTCCCCGCACCGGCGGCAACCCCCACGGCCGCTGTTCCTGAGACGGTGATTCGGTCTGAGGTCCCCGATCCGATGGCTGCTGCGGCCGCTGCAGCAACTGCATCCGAGTCAATCCAGCCGCCCGTGTTGGCAAACGYTCCTCCTCCGGCAGCSGTAGCGGCCCCCGTTGGTGGARTAGTGATGCCACCGGGGAATTAAAGGGATGGACCACGGGGTTTGTAACTGGGAAAGAGCAACATTCGCTAGAAATATTTTTTTGAAATCGACGCAACTGTACAAGTACCAGCTGTTAGGAATCAACGTAGAMTTTCAAATCACATATTGCAAGTGTCACACCGCCAGTCAACAGAATTGAGAAAAAGGCGAATGTYTTWMTGTTGATGGGTTCGGTGCAGCGCAGCCACTGCCGCGCTTGATAAAACTTTGGCTTTCTCAGCCAGTTCTTCGGTTCGAGAGCTCTCTTACGAGGGGAAGATATCATTGTAACACAAACTTAGTGGACATCCAAACAATGGGGTAGATAGGGTCTCCGTTCCATGCAATATATCTATGCGATGCTTCAATATTTATATTCGCCAAATTTGAGCGACATAATAATGCTGTGTTATTGTTACCAGTGCAAGCACGTCTCTCGTCTATTGCATCGCTGGATGCGTCCAAGCTACCCTGTACAACTCARTTCMTCTTGGCAAATACMCCACCGATTTGTTGGTTTAGAGTGCGACGCGGTCGCCGAACCCGACGCCGGAGTCCAGGAAGGATTGTCCGGAGATGCTTACATATCCCTTCTCTTGCATCACCTTGAGCTTGGCTCGAAAGGCGAGAAACTGTGGTGAGGACTTGTGGATCGTGAGATACGCGTTCTCCTTGTCCGTGTAACGCTCGAGTACCACGACCTCGAGATTGTCCTTGTCTGACTGTAGAACCTCGTAAGCTAGCGTTTGCGGTTCACCCGTTCGAATGTATTCCGCAACGGGCCGAATAATTTCTAGAAATTCTTGTTTGTGTCCAAGGTTGTCAAAACGGGCCGTAACTAAAAGCGTAAACGCGGGGACAGAGAAAGAAGATGAAGCAGAGCTCTTCGATGCACTGGAGGACGACGATCGCAGAGAAACCGAAGACGCTATGGCATTGTGAACGAGGAAAAAGCACGCTACAAAAGCGACCGAGATCGAAACCAGGAAGAGGCTCTTTCGACGCGGCGCTACCAGGCCGCTCGGTCTCGATCTCCTTCGCAGAAATCCGGGTTTCGGTGGTTGTATTGTCATACGCTGGGAGGCGATTGCAATCTAGTGGATGCAAACGAAAGACGGAAASACGAGACAGAGRAGATGCATGTGAGAGGATGTCCAATTCTATATTTCGATCGTTATGGCGGGTCAATTGGCGCCGTCTTTTGTCTTCAGTTTTCTCTCAGTACATGTTGGAACAAAAAGTATCTCTTTCACAGGGCCGGTTAAGCCCCACTCAGACGAAAGATGGTATATGAAATTGGTTTCTCGTCACGGAGAAAACRAACACGAGCAGCGACAACAGCAAATGTGATCTACTCTTGTGGTCTTACCTTCCCTGCATATGGGAATCAATGATTCATATTATGAAACAGTTCGCCATGGTTGGAATAAATTCGTTTTTGGTCGACGATAAAAAAATAGTGATTAAAAGTACGGAAGGTTTTCGGCTTCATTTTGTCGACGGGTTCTCTCTCTGGATTAGAGTGCATAAATTCTACACTACCAGTAGTGACAGCCTCCGGCTTTCGTGGTCCTCAACGAATATGTACGGTACGGTGGATGGCCAGACTTTTTTAGGCAAGTCGTTTTCACGCTCGTACGAGTCGTTTTACTACTACTGAAGTTGTTTCTACCCGTTCTATTAGTAGTACATACCGTACTGTTCTTATTCTTACCGATTCATTCTTTCTTAAGATATTTTAGAAATAGAATAGAAAAAGAAGTACATTGATCTTGTTGAGACGATCAAATGTTCTTCTAATAAGGAGTAGTACTGCATCCTMGCTCTGTTTGTGATCAAAATATATCTTTTGTCTTCAGAAATTTAGCCTCCTAGCTATAAGATTTATTTCGTGGCTTTCATTTTCCTTCGCAAACGCTGGCGTTCTTGCTGTAGTAACTTGCATAATGCKAGGATTCAACTTTGAAAAAGATGGTTTTGCCGAAGTAGGATCCACGAAGAGACGTATCGTTGTTGCGTGGGTAAACAATCGGCGGTCATCTTTTGCGTAAGCTTAAATTTTGCCGCTCTAGTGTTGTGCTGTGTTGCCCTGCTTGGGAATCGACTGAAAGCTGCGATGCATCCTCAGCTGTACCCGTGATCGAAAAAATCTTTTCCACCTGTGCGTCAATTCCATAGAATTATTCATTAAAGTCCCAYGAGTGGAATCCATACCTCTGCACCCAACGTTTTGTTGTCTTTGTTATAGTCAGTTGAGTCACTCATGAATCTCATTATTGCCCTTTMATAATTTGACTCCAAATRTCCTCTCGCAACAAGTTTTGTAGTCTTAGCAGAGTAACTGAAAAAGATGCTCGATGTCATCATCGTAAGAATCGCCCCATAGAGCCCAGTGCCTTGATTTATATTCCGAATTGTAGTTTGTTCTATCTACCGATCTGGTGGGCAGCAGTGCTTTCAGAAGTTTATTTGCAGCCTTCCAAGAGGGCGCCTTCACCAGATGGTTTCGGAGCCGGCCACAATCACGATGGCGGCTGGAGCACAATATATTGATGCATTTCTAGAACAGATCTGAAGGAACGATCTCATTAGAAGGGGATCCGGAAACGGAGTGTGAACAAGAATGGCGTCCGGGCCACCATGGTGACGACGGCGGCAACAACGAAAGCACGTCGAGCGTTTTTTGCTCTCGAACTTTCTGACCGGAGGGAACTCGGCGTGTTACATACACATTCACACTCGGATGTGTGCTCGTACGGACGATTGCATCCCTTGTATTATCGTTGAAGATCAYATTGTTTGTTCTTTGTAGCGTTGCACTCCTACCGGTATCTTGCGAACGAGACACAAAACACAAAACAGTGACAGTCGATTTTTTTAAGGTCGGCATGAATTCTTCCCGGGAACGTTGCCGRATTCTCAAGCACGACTGAAGTTTTCTTTCCGACTGCCGCAAGATCGACCAAACGTGCATCAACGCAGGAAGCACATAACGTACTTCTCATCAGTACTGGTACTGCGTAAACCTACAATAATACTGTGCGGTTCCTMTTAGTAGTAGTACGTACGGTAGTATCGGTTGCCGTTGGAGAACCCCAAAAATGACCGGGGTCGCCGATGGTGGCGATGTGGAAGGATCGCTGATGCGGTCTGTGACCGAAACCGGGACACGAATCCGAACCGCTGTCAGTTGTTCTGCATCTGCGCCTKCATGRCGTCCGTACKTCTCCCAGAGCATCCAACCAGGTACTCCCGTTCCGAGCCCGAGTGCTACTCCGATCGTTCCAATTGTTTCGTCACACGAACCATCGAGATTTGACGCCATGCCATCAACAATCCTTCCCCAGCGCCGGGTCGTGTTTTGAAGCTAAAAATCGCGAAGTTTCGAACGGACGACAAAATCGACATCATTTTTCTCCCGAGGTAGTCGTAACGAATACTTCTAGAAGTTCCTCCATTTTTTTCCTCATRAAAACCGACACCCCAGTTCTGTCGTAAATTATTTACTACTTYTACAGCAGTACTTTTTCTAATAAAATCCCCAATTCGAAAAGCACAAGAACAACACACAAGCAGAAAGAACCCGTGACGTACCCACCCACAACCCAACGCAACAAAGGAAAACGCAAGTAGTGGTACAATTTTTCCCTAAGAACATAACAAAAAAGAACACAGCACAGCACAGCACACCACAGCACAGCAGCAAATCAAGCATGGCCGGAAGAACCTGCTCGAACCAGCTGATGAAGGTTTTGACGACTCCTTCCAAGGTTGCAAACGCCCTGGACTGGAGGAAATCAATGGGTGCCGCCATTGCCACCGTAGATGTCCACGCCGACCGCATCGGAATCACCATCTCGAAGCACCCGAGCGTGGCGATTTCGACCACGGCGTCAACKTCAGCGTCGTCTACGGCGGCACCCTTCTACAGCTCGTACTCGCTCCCGATCCGCCAGCGGGGGAAACGCAGGATCCCCGAGGAATCCCGCCGGAGGCTCTCCGAGCTGGTACGGGAGCACAAGGTCTGTGGATTCGTGGTGTCCTGGCCCATCCAGAGGGACACGGGCCGGATGGGGGCACCCTGCGGGCGAACCCTCTTTGCGATCGAGGAGCTCCTGAAGAGCGGAGCCGACGAGCCGTCGTCGTCTTCTTCGTCTTCGTCGTCGTCCCTGCGGGACTCCGGCGATCTTCGAAAGCCCTCCGCCCCGGTGTTCACGCCGAGCCGCCCCGTTTGCCTGTGGGACGGGGTGCACCGGGAGCAGCCCGCAACGGACGCCTTTGGGCGATCGACCGCCTTTGCCAGGCCAAAKTCGTGCGAATCGGCAGGGACGATGCACGTCGCCTCGGAGGAGCAGTACCACCAGGAYGAATCCATCGTCGCGGCGAGCGTGTGGGAAGACTTTGTCCGGACCAACTGGCCGGAGGTCTACCGCCAACGGGAACGGCAGGAACAGGAGCAGGCAGAAACCGTCGGGCCAGGCCGCAGCCACCTCGGTCCGGCCGTGTTGGCAGCGTGATCGGGAGGACCGGCAAGGCTCCGTGGAGTCAAACTGCTGCAACGCACTGCAGCGGAATACAATAGAAGAACATAGAAAACAATACAATACARCACAATAAAATAATAGAATAGAAGATATAACAAGCTTGAAACCCGAACRCCTTCTTTTTSTTTATAGTATTGGTTTCAACCGAACCGGCACAAGATGCACGGTACGTATTTTTATGACAGAAGAGGGATATAGATATTCTCTCACTTTCTGAGGCCAAACTGTGWTCTCGAACGATAGAAWAAATAGCAGATCAAAATCTTGTCTAAGTTACTTCAGGACAACAGGCTGCCAATGCCAAGCGAAACTATTGCGTGAGGCGCATGCATTTGTTACCACAGCAACCTTCCAAAAACGTGGTTGTTGTTTTTCCATTTCAGCTGTTTTGATTCCGTATCCGAACATATCCAGCTCATTCGCTGTAGGAGACACTGCAATAGCTAATGTCCTGTAAAACAAAAAAATGTGCAGATTTTTTCGCAGAGTTTTGCACTTACATTCTTCGATTGGAACKCGGTGACCATGATTGCACTAGAAATGGTAGTCCAGCCMAAACAAAGTACTAGGAAATACTAATAAAGGATTCCTTGTGCGGATAAGAAAATCGTTTCTTTGTAAACACAATACTAAAATACTACAAGCCATGGGCACAATTGCCCTTTTGTGCCTGCCTGCATGGATGCAGTTCGGACAACGGCAGCCCCGCCCCGCCCCACGCCACGCCTCACCGGYGGAGCGTTTGTTTGCAGTACCCCTCGAGTCCTTCGGGGACGCTTTCCCCGCCTCCCTTGTCGCGGMGGCATCCCAAAAAGCCGACGACGCCGTCYCCGGTGTTGCGGTCSCCGGCGGCCGCCATCGGGATGGCGTTCCTCATGGCWCCGGCGCCGCTCGTTCCAAAGACCCTGTCGCAGGCCCCGYCCCCGCCCCTGGGACCGCCGAGAAARCAGCTGCAAAAGTAGGCAATGTAGGGGCCCTCCTTGTGCGACAGCAGGGGGCCGAGGTGCCCCGTTCCCTTCATGTCGACGTACAGCTTGTTCGCCGTCGGCGACACCRCCTCGAAGTCCTTCCACGCCGAGAGCTCCGGCTCGATGTAATCGTTCGTCCCCGTGACGATCATGGTGGGGGTCTTGTCCACCACAAAGTTGGCCACGTCGGGGTTGAAGCCCGGGAGGTAGATCGGGTCCGGGTGGTCCCCGACGACGGCCCGGAACTTTTGGAGGGAGGTCCGCTGGGCCTCCGTGATCATGGAAGCGTACTTGGTGSCCGCCAGGTACCTGGTAGGGTTGTCGACCAGCGCCGCCAGCATCAGGACCGCCCGGCCCCCCGTCGAGTGCCCCGAGGCGGAATACCCGGCGTCGAAATCGATGWGTTCGGTCCACCAGCCGGCCTCGSTTTCCAGAAAGGACATGCTCTTGAGGATTTCCAGAAACGAGGCGTTYCCGTCGTCGCACTGCTGATCGATCGCACAGCTCAGGTACATGGACACGACAAAKCCCCGGCTGGCAATGTCGTTGACGATCCCCCGGTAGGCGAAGGAGAAGGGGCCTCCGCCAAAATCCCCGTGGGCGAAAAAGTGCAGCGGGTGCTTCTTGCCGTCGTCGGGGTAGCACACCCGGGAGTACCTGTAGAACCTCGTTGCGGCGGTGAGGTCCGGCATGTAGACGTCCTTGCATTTCACCCCGACCCGTTCCGAGCCACCGATCGCGACGACCGCTGCCCTCCCGACCAGCTCGGGGTGGATCCAGACCGCCGCCACCAGCGCGGCAACTGCACCGGCCCCAACCACTAGCCGCTTGGGTGAGAGCCAGGGATTCTTGCGGCTCGGGGCGGCGGCTGCGAGAACGCGATCGGCRCCGGCTTCTCTGGGGAGTGGAACCAAAGGGGTGCGTTCGCCTTCCTCCCGCCCCATCGGAGGTGGGTCTTGCCGCCGTTGAGTCGWTCCAGGGACCATGGTTTTGTCGGCCCTTCCTCGTTTATACGGGTACCTGCAGATGTCGCGTTTTGTTGTTTCGTTGAATTGTTTTCTGCACACCGCCGTGTTTCTTCGAATGGAGCTTCTTTGGTATTTCGTTTCAGTGTCGGTGTCAGTGTCCTTTGCTTTGGAGTGGCGCTGTCTCTTTTTTKGGGATGTCTCTTGCAGGATGGTGATAATGCAACCAGAGAGAATCAGAGGGTTCGGAGTTCGGATATTTTCTGCACTACGATCTCTCKCCCATGCGACTGAATCCTATTCAAATCGTGTCGTTTCGGTGTCAGCTGTCAGTAGTAGTAAAGCCAAGTGYCGTAGTGGCAAGTTATTGGCAATTCCCCGGGTGTCAATTTTTTTCTCATTTTCCCCTCCCCCCCCCCTCCACACAAAAAACTACTACTAATCCTTAAATATTTTCTACTAATAGTGCCCCTTACTACTTGGGATGTAAAATCAGTGCTTACTACCTGAGAATTTACATAAGTGCTTACTACTGGATCACCTCCATTACTACTTACTACTAGTTGGGATTTCATTGTAGTACTACTAGTGAACACTGCAAACTGCTGCTGGTGGGTAGGGGGTTCTGTTGGTGCTCTCTCCTTGTTTCGCAGATGTTTCTTCAAAATCCAACTCCCCAGAYCCCCCTCCCTCAGAGAGAACCAATTACAGACAAAACTATTTTAGTCTTTTTATGTTTAGACTTCCATGATTCCTGTACAAACACTACACTAGTAGAAATTTTTAGCTCATTTTTACAGCAGTTACTAAAACCAGTGGAAATAGGCATCCACCAACGGACAAAAATAAAAATATTTCCACTGTTTAATATCTTGCTGGTCACAAAATATTTCTAGTATTGGTCATTACTACAACTGGGGATAAAATATCAGAGGTTACTTGAAAATTTCCATTAGTCCTCTTGTTGCAGCACCAACATAACAAGAACCTTACCCAGTGCTCACTACTACTATCATTGCCACTACTAAGTAGTAATAGAGGTTGTCCAGTAGTAAGCGGCACTAATGAAAATTTTCAAGAAGTAACCACTGATATTATATTCCCAGTAGTAGGCTACTTCTACTAGCTAAGGACCAATAATAAAAATATTTGTGTGGACGGGGGGGGGGGGAAGAGGGGAAACAAACACAGAAAATGAAAAAACTTGTAGTTAGTGCACCACTTGACATTAGTAGTTAGGAGCTTGTATGAGTTGTGCTGGAATGAGTTAATTATAGTGTAGTAGTTGCATGTAGACCTACCATGCATAGTAAAGTAGTGAACAACAACAACAACAGCAACAACAACAACAACAACAACAACAACAACAACAACAACAACAACACCAGCAAGCCAGCAGTGGAAGGAATGCTAATGGTGGTGGTGGTGGTAATAGAGTATTAGTACTACTACTACTACTACTACTACTACTACTACTACTAGTACTACTACTACTGTGGAAAATTATGTTCATTTTTCAATAGTAAAACAGTACCACAAATATCAATTTGATATCCGACAAAATGGTACCTTCAGAATCAGCATAAAAAACTGGACTAGACTGGCTACTCAAAAATTAAAATAGTAGTATTTTTGATAAAGCTGTAACTGCTTAAAGGTTGGATAGTTTTACTAGTATTATGCAGTAAAAATGATTTGGACCACACGTGGAATGTGATTTTTTTTTTTTCTCATGATCTGTGACACGCCAAAAAATTCGTTGCGCTCCCCTCTAAATTATGACCCCTGCGTACCAGTTCGTACTTGACTTCCGATGTGAACGAAACTGACGTCATCCACTTCGGAAATCAAGCATACAGTAGTACAGTAATTTTTGAGTTTGTGTCGACCATGCGTCGCGACTTAAGCTCAAAAAATTGCTTACGTACCGTACATAAAAGGTGTGTATGATTTGATTTACATGATACTGTATTTTTCGTGAAATTACGGTGAAGAAAACAGCAGCAGTAAACCGTAACGACGAGGAAAAATATCGTACCAGAGTAGCATTTTTTGGGAAATTCTGGACAGGAACGTGATCTTTGTACTGTCATCCGAAGGAATCGCATCGCCTTCAGCTCGTTCGCACAAATTTCTAAAAGTATTAGTATGGTTGCAACAAAAAAAAATAATTGGATAGAGGCTCTGGCATTTGCGGCGGTAGCGATCCTCGTGGTGTCGGTAGCTGCAGAYGAACTTCCCGACGATGCAGGATCCATCTTTTTTGCGCCTGAAGAGGTCGAATGCAAATCATTCAACTACGATTGCCACGGGTGCGTCGACAACGGCTGCTACTGGTGCCCATCTGATGCTTTATGTTTCAAAACACCCGAATACACTGTGAGAGCAGAATCTGATGACAAGAAGGAGATTGAGTATCTTTATCCCAACCGCGTTCACAATTGCAGGATGCCCGAATCCTTCACGCAGACGATTTGCACAGCCCCGGAAAATTTTTTCATTGATCCAGTCTACTCGGCCCAAAAATAGATCTTCGACGAAGTTAAAGTGGAATCCGTCTGGGCGAAAGGCTATACGGGGATGGGAGTAAGAGTTCGAATCAATGACTCGGGGATGGAAATCGATCACCCGGAATTTCTTGGCCGGGTGGATCTGGACGCTTCGTGTCCCATATACGAACCAGCTGAATCCCTTCTATTTGGATCCAATGACGCATCATTTCACGGAAATGTTGTTGCATCTCTSGTCGGCGCTACTGCCGACAATGGTACGTCGACTGTTATACCTGTTATTGGTGCTCCTTACGTGTCATCGGACAGAAACTATGGAGAAATTGTCAGTGTTTTTCTGTTTGTGTTTCTGTGCATGAGGCTCGTAAAAGGAACTCGGATTCTAGCGTGCGATCTTGGTTCGGAGGACGGCGTAGCGTACCACTGTCGTTGTCTGCTGGCCTCCTCAGTGAAGGAATGGCTCGGGGATACCCCAATAGATGCATCCATCGAAGAGCGACAGCACAAATCTAGCGAAGAGTAATGTAGCACTAGAAGAAAAAATCGGGAGCCTTGCATTTTCTCATTTTTTGGTTTGCTTTCACAACTCGTAAAGACTACTGTGGGGTGGGTGTAGCCCCCGGTGTCACCTTTTCATCCTGCAATCTCTTTGGTACATCAGACCTTGCAGAAGATCTGCAGTACAAGCTGGAAGATATTGACATTTCTCAAAACTCGTGGGGCGAAGCGGGGTGTCGAAAAAAAAATAGAAAACTARATTTTTTTTGCAGCACTCCCGACTGCAATCGCAGGCTACAAGAAGAAGGCATAAGCTTCTGCCCRTTTGTCCACAAGCCTTTTGAATCATACAACGAATTTCCCTGCGACCACTGCGATTTCAGAGTTGCTTTCCAATACTCTGAACAGGGGGAGGATTGCAAAATGAAGATGGTCAACCATTGTAAAGCATTTCCAGTGCAAGAAAACAAAGCGTGCATGGAGATCTATGGCTTGATATTGGCTGGAGAAAAATCAGAAGGCGAATGCTACTTCCGGTACCTTGATGAAGGCTCGTTGGAATCAGTTTTGAGGGGCGTCACAGAGGGAAGGGACGGCAAGGGCATCATTTATGTCATGTCGTCGGGCAACGACTTTGCTAATGGAGACGATACCAACTTCCAAGGATTCAATACGAGGTACATGATTCCCGTGGCGGCCGTCTCAAAAACCGGCAATTTTTCGAGTTATTCGACACCTGGAGCATCGATTTTTGTCTCTGCTCCTGGTGGGGACAATAGTCAAGCCGTGACAAACGTCGTCGCAGCAGCAAAAAACGGTGCCTGCGCGCAGATAGCTWCAGGTCAWGGAACCAGTTATGCGGCCCCCATTGTATCCSRTGTAGTGGCATTGGTAAGAGGATGTTTGTATTCTGCGTAGGTTTTTTCATTACTTGAMAGATTTGGAATYATGAATTGCTTCAAGTTTGGTGCTAATGCACGAGTAATTTTCTTTATCGTTATGACTCAGATGCTKGAAGCAAATCCTGATCTTGGTTGGCGAGATGTGAAATACATCTTGGCCCTTACAGCAGAAGAGAAGAAAGACAAAAACGATGAAACTGTTGCAAGGAATGGAGCTGGGATTGTTCATTCCAATCGTTACGGCTTTGGAATTGTCAACGCAGAAAAGGCAGTGGAAACYAGCGAGAGATGGACCAACATTGGGCCTGAGCAAATGCTGTTTYAGGAAGGCAAGGGCAACATCCACATTCCGGATGACCCCAGCAAAGTYACCGAAATTCCGCTCTATTTTGACCACGACAGCAAATTTATCGCGGAAAGCGTTTATTTGGAAATAAAGCTTGAGCACTCATCTCGAGGCCATCTGCGAATCGAGCTAGTTTCCCCCATGGGGATGACCTCTGTGATGGCTCCYGGAAGACGCCCCGAAGCACAGCAATCGGGATGGATGAAGTTTACCTCTGTGCGGCACTGGGGAGAAGACCCCGATGGCACATGGACCATTAAGATTGTTGATACCACCCCTGGATATGTTAACGACTGTATCAGCTATCGCGATTATGGAATTGATTTGCTTGTCTTTGAGAATCGATATGTTWCATTAAGCTGTGACTTCRGAGCTATTGATGATCTCCGCRATTTTTGTCGTGATGGAGATCCGTTTTATATTGACCAATTTATGGAAAGTTGTGAARGCTACAATTACACRGTAGGTGATCATTGCAGCAGGATCGAACAAGTTATGAATAGAAAAAGCGCCGGAATGACTGCTCGTGAGGCATGCTGCGAGTGCGGGGGTGGCTTTAAGCCCAACATGTTGCCGGAGGAAGTTTTGGAATGGAAGGTCACCATCTACGGACACGAAAAGATGCCCGGAGAAGGGGCCTTCTCCGGAGTCGAAGGTTCAACCGAGCTAGGAAAATGGGGCAACAGAGGAAGAGTTTACGTTGAGGATCGCCTCCGCGTCCCTTAGGATGCAATCTCTGGGCGTTCTGCGTAGCATATGGAATGCTCTRTACCAAATACACGCTCAAAAACGCAACGCTCGGAAAAGGGAGTTTCGAAAGTCCACAGCTGTCTCGAGTCGGTTTAGGGAATCCGTGGAGAATCCGTGAGAGTCGCGTAGGACCTGGATTTCGCATTTCAMKATTAYAGAGGCCACAAGTGGATTTAGTAAMAAGAAGAATRTAGTCGAAGTAATTGGGAATAATTGTGTTGTGGGAAGCCACTTTTTGGCGCACCACAAGCCAATTTACTTTTTAAAAAACTAGATCCTGTAGAGTTTGTGTTCTTGGGTTTAAAGGAATTAAAGCGCATTATATCATTCAGATAGTTACAATRTACCCCAAAATTGTTCGTCTCCACGAGAAAAACGCAGCAAAGTTTTGTCGTAAATGAAACTACTTATTTTGTAAATTGATTAGTTGCAAATTTTGTCATCGCAACTGGTTCTCCATYGCCTGAACTACTTCACGGACGTCAKTGGGATACACGGGAAGTTGTTTCGGTCGGCGCTGCGTTTCACTCTTCTGCCGACTGGTGGTGCCATCAGAATCGTCCGAGTCGTCGTCGTCTTCTTCGATTCGTTCCAAACGCACCTCGATCGGAGCACCGTTGCAGATGAGACCCGGGGTCGGCGTATTTTTCAAGAGAATCCGGTCCGCGGGAGCGTTTTCGGGCCCCGCCTCCGCGGCACCAGYGTCCGTGGGGCGGATTTCCACGGGGCCGGTGTAGCAAAAGGTGCCGGGCGTTGCGGTGAGGCGCTCTACGATTCGTGCGCGGTCGGCCGAGCCGCGGTAGCGCTGCTCGGGCAGAAAGACCCCCGTTTGCACAGCGGTGCCCCGCTCGTGTTCCAGCACCGCGTCCAGCGCGAACTCGGCGCAGGACTGGCCGACGCACCGGCGGAAGGAGTCGTGGCACTGGACGATCGAGGTCATGGCCTGGGCGCTCGCACCGTTGTCGCTGCGCTCGGTGACCACGTCTACCCGCATCGCGTGGGTTTCTCCGCAGTCGCCCTTYCCCGTTTCCTCGCTCGGCGCCGACAGCTTTCGCATCGCCAAATCGGTGGCCAGCACGAGGGGCTCGGAAAAGTCCGCCAGGAACTTCGAGAAWCGMTCGGATCTCCACCAGTTCCGAGGGACTAGGTCGACCAGCAGGCCSAGCATGTCGTTCCAAATTTCGGGTGCGGTTCCCATGGCGGAAGAAGACGAACCCGAAATCGATAGCTCGGACGCAACGGTAGCTGCCTCCGGAAAGGGCCACGCAAAGACCTTCTGGCTCCCTACCCTTGCCTTTGCCCTGGCGTTGTCTTTTCTCCACGGAGCGTCGATGGTGGTGCGTGTGTTGTCGTCGTCGATGAAAAAGTCGACCTTCCCCAGKAGGCGTCCGGACAAGTCCTCGAACCGGCTCCGCCTTCCTTTTTCGTGCATGACCATTGGATCCCCGAAACCAAGGTTGGTAATGTACAGGTTGATCGTCCCCGATCCACCCAAGCCCTTGGTAAAGTAATTGAATCGCACGTCTTTCACCACGGAGGAAGCAGACGACTCGTCGTGGTCGGTTGACAGCGCCGCCTCCGCCGCTTCCATGGCCAGCACGTTGGACATTCCCGGAAAGGCACCCGCCGCCAAGAGGGCCGTGGTGCCCGAGGCAATCGCTCGGTCGTTCCGTTCCAGGGAGGCTTCCAGAAAGTCGACCGGATCCGAAACGTCCACGTACACCGGTATCTTGAAGTCGATGCAGGCGTCCAGCACGGTGGGGGATCGATCCGCGTACGGACCCGCCACATGAATCACGCAGGAGACGGGGCCGCTGTTGTCGGACGACGACGAATCGGGTGTTTGCCCTCCCCCCAAGAGAATSTCGTCCAGTGCGCCGGCTTGCCAAACGTCGGGAACGCACCGGTACGAGATCTTTGGTCGCTGGGAGTCGGGGAAGGTCTTTTTGTGGTCCTCGGAGGACAGCGCCAAGAGTTCCTCTATTTCTTGCAGGGCTGCCCGGAAATAGGTGTCGTCTTCCGCCGAGGAAAGCCGGCGTCCCACCAAAACAATTTCACAGTCGGATGGTGCCGGCGAGGAGGAGGACARTCGATGGGATAAGTGAGCCGCGACGGCAGTTCCGATCTTTCCGGTGCCACCGAGAACCACAAATTTCGTTGGGTTTGTCGGCGCTGGTGCTTTCGGAAGCGCCAGCGATGTCGCGGTCTCGATGAGAATGGCAGAGAAAACAATGAAGGCAGACGACAGAGACAGAAACATTCTCTTTGTTGCGAATCGTGGAAATCGAAAGCGGGGCATTCTCGCAACGGTCTTGTTGTTCACCACCTTCGTCGATCGTCGGGATTTCTTCGTGGCAAGTCTCGGTGCTCTCGGTGTTCCTTTCGCTATGCTCTTGGGTTTGCCAGACTCGGTGGGAAATTTACGCGAACTATGGTTCTCTGATGCAATGCAGAATGATGAGGATGAAAAAAGACGACGACAAAGACGATGCATGGAAGTCCCGGAAAAGGTACCGTACGATGATGTCATATGCAAAGTACATACGTATCTACAGGTAACAAATGAATGAATTTTGAATTTTGGAAGTGTCTGAAACTAAGCATTGTACGGTATCTACCATCCATACAGTGAAGTATGGTTACATCAAAAAACTGAAATCGTCGCAACTCGCAACCGTGCCTGGTCCGATGAAAACGATCCGATGAAAACGATTCTGCATCATATTCAAAATTTCGACCAACCAATGGAAAGCYAGCAAAGATTCTCACGAAAATCTGAGTTGAGATGGAACATCAATASGAGATGGACATGGAAATAGTGCGTTGCAACGTCCGCCATATCACAATGCGAACATTCCAATAAATACTAAAATAAATACAACGGCGTAATCCCGTTCCTTCGGATCATAGCAGCTCGAGACGGATGTACAGATAATATGGACAAAGACGATGATAATATGGACAAAGATGGTGACGAAAAGAACAATAGTGCTCCGTTTGGCAACGGATCCATAGAAATGGATTCCGTAGCCGAAACGGAACGTCAAGAGAACGGTATGCAAGCCGGAGCAACAAACTCGCGAAACGAGTTTGATGCTCCGGCTCCCATACTGTTCGATTCCTCGAACAGTATGGGAGCCGGAGCATCAAACTCGTTTCGCGAGTTTGTTGCTCCGGCTCCCATACTGTTCGAGGAATCGTCAATTATTGGTACTGGCATTGGAATGGGCATACCAAATGAATTTGGTATTCCTCCATCGTYCGAACCAGTAGCTGACGATTTTCCACTTGACTTTGTAGTAGGAGCAGCTAACACTGCTGCTACTCATCAGCAATATAGCTCGCGAGACTTGAGCTCGAGTACAGGGGATCAAGAATCATTGGGCTCTCGAATTGGTATAGAAGATTATGGTGAAAACCAAGTTGCTTCTGTCTCAGCGCGAGGCACCAATGATTCTATAGAACCACCGGGTAATCACTCAAGACCCATAGATCTTTGGGACCAATTGTGGCTCAGAGTATACAACCCTTCCCCGACACAAATTCCGATACCATTTTCTGTACAGGTTCAACACTTTTCAWACTGGCTTCGAGAATATGTTCCAAGTTTGCCAGAGAACTTCCGGGAGAGCCTCGCACGTTCTTTAGCTGAAAATCTAACTGAAGATACAAAAAATGCCATTCCTGTAGTTGACAGAATATTGCGTTACTTTCAAAATTGTTGCTTGTTGCCAAATGATCCCTCTCTGAAATTATTGTATGAAGATTGTCGGAAACAATCTGACGCTCTTCATCAGAAATCACTGCCAAAAGTCGGAGGAGAAAAGACAGCCGCAGAGAAAGTGATTAAGAGCAAATCTAAAACCGCTACTGGTAAGAAAAAATATAGGTGCTCCAAATGCGGAGAAATAAAGGTGACTTATCGGAAAGACGGAATGAAAATTCCTCACATGTGTGTGAAAGACCAGGAGACGAGCACGAAAGACGGCACGAAAGACAATGACATCGACGAAATCTTAAAAAACCCTCCTAAAAAATACAGAGTATTGTTTCCAAGACATCCACCGCAGCTTTCGAACCATGCGGAAGAAGTCGACCAAAAAGTAGTTGGTAACAGTAGCGGCGGCGGCAGCGACGACGATGACGACCGAAAGCCTGCTGCACAAGCCACCCGAAAACCACCACCTCCAGGCGGTGTCCTGAGTGGGAAGTCGGATCAAGCCGTTGGTTCAATCGCAAATCCCCCGCGTTCAGATAGAAATATAGACGACAACACAGATGACAATGGCGATGGAACAGGTAAGCTTCGCATTGYATYGCATAAAACAATATCACGCTACAATCGCATTGTTTCTTTGCATCGTCAGCTCTCCGATCTACTATCGTGAAAAATCCCGGAATGCTCTTACCACACCGATCGTTTTGTTTGCCGCCTGCATTGGTTGTGTGCGATGCTTTCAAAATGGTGCCCTGAGATGCTACAGAAAGTTCTACGAAGTCGAGCGGCGAGAAACAAAATCCTGGCGGTGGCGACGACAAAGACGTGCCAAGGAATGATMGAGGCAGCGGYGGTGGCGATAGTCGCAGTGMTGCCGATGGACATCAGCTATAGTTGGTTCCTTRTGAACATTATCCACAGCCGTAGAGTACCATGCAAACCTTTGTAATAAAACACAGCATAACAACTAGGAATATCAAGAGGTAAGGGACGATTGACAAAACAAGCGTTTTGTTCTTGGACTTTCGGAACTATTGTCGCAAGTTCAAAGAAAAYAGAAACGGAAGAAAACTAAACAGACCATATCTGTTGCTCCGTGTGCCACCTCAATCCAAATCTATTAGTTCCAATTCGAAAAATTATRTCTGGCTTTGTACTTCTTGTAGATTGCAGCCCGTATCCACTTTACTCCTTTATTTGTTCCCGTTCCGAAAATTACCGAATCGGGAGGTTAGATTGTGACGAGGAACACCGTGATTTTTTCTTCTCCCTCCACGTTGACTACCGGAAGAGAAGTAACTCAATCGAGCTAGTCGAGAATGCAACACTTGAACTTTTCAACTTCGAAAGACACCCCGCAGCGCACTCGACTGATGCGACAGCTGTTTTTTTTTTTAAATTGTTTGCATCTCAGCGCTACGCACGGTATGGTACGTACCATACGTAGTGCTTTGGTATCAAAAGAAGAGAGCATTGTCCGTTATGTTTTGACGACTGTAGCACCCGTAGGATTTGTACGGAGAGTTTTGTGCGATCGTGACGCCCTTCTTCTCTCTCGTTCCTTTAGCTGTTCTTCCCCTGCATTCTCCCCAACTTTTTTTGTTCGCATGGAACGAAAATCTTAGAATGCCAATACGGTACAGTAATAACATCGCCCGCAGCCCTTCAGTACTGCACTAGTATTGGTAATACGAACCTCAACAACGTACCGGTACAATACATCTCTATGAAGGAACACCCAATAGGGAACCAGGCAAAGCGATTGATAACCAATAGGAACGAATCTCGATTGCATTATCATTGCCTATTAGAACTATTAGAATAGAACAACATCGCGATACCGCAGGTGGATATCTAAAACACATACGATACCACAACAGATCACGCATCGCATACCTCAAACACAAACAGCATCGTCTACCATGTCGGTCTATCAGAAAATCTTCCAGGCAACTACCCGTAGGGCCGCGGCCTCGGCGGCATTTAGCGCGGGCAACATCGCCAAGTCCGCAAAATCCTCGGTCCCCAAAATGGCAATCTGGGCGGTCCCGGGTGGGGTCGCCGCCTCCTGGTTCATCTTTGGCGCCCTTACGGACGAGATCAAGGAGAGCCTKGGWATGTACTACGATCCTCTCGCGGACGTCAACCGCGTCGAAATGGAGCGSGTGAAGCGCATGGACGAGCGGGAGGCGATCAAGGCCGCCAAGGCAGCCGCGAAGGCCAGTAGCAGCGGTGGGGACGACGACGAGGAAGACGACGACGANGTACAATACATCTCTATGAAGGAACACCCAATAGGGAACCAGGCAAAGCGATTGATAACCAATAGGAACGAATCTCGATTGCATTATCATTGCCTATTAGAACTATTAGAATAGAACAACATCGCGATACCGCAGGTGGATATCTAAAACACATACGATACCACAACAGATCACGCATCGCATACCTCAAACACAAACAGCATCGTCTACCATGTCGGTCTATCAGAAAATCTTCCAGGCAACTACCCGTAGGGCCGCGGCCTCGGCGGCATTTAGCGCGGGCAACATCGCCAAGTCCGCAAAATCCTCGGTCCCCAAAATGGCAATCTGGGCGGTCCCGGGTGGGGTCGCCGCCTCCTGGTTCATCTTTGGCGCCCTTACGGACGAGATCAAGGAGAGCCTKGGWATGTACTACGATCCTCTCGCGGACGTCAACCGCGTCGAAATGGAGCGSGTGAAGCGCATGGACGAGCGGGAGGCGATCAAGGCCGCCAAGGCAGCCGCGAAGGCCAGTAGCAGCGGTGGGGACGACGACGAGGAAGACGACGACGATGACGACGACGAGGTCTCTGCAGCTGTCTCCAAGGCTGTTGCGTCGGCCATGGACGACGACGACGAAGAAGAAGAAGAGGTGAGCGTCGAAGAAGAAGAGGTTGTGGTTGAAGTGATGGTTGCGCCAATCGTCGATGAAGAGGAGGAAGAGGAAGAAACCGAAGACGTCCAAGAAGAAGAGGAGGAAGAAAACGAATCTTCCAAAAAGACAAAGCCTTCAAAGAAGAAATTCGAAGACATGACGACACAGGAAAGATGGGACGATTTCCTTGAGAAATCGATAGTGCCAGGAGAAGATGATGATGATGACGACGACGATGATGATGACGACGACGATGATGACGACGACGATGATGATGACGACGACGATGATGTCAGTAGCTCTGCATCACATGTATAATTACAAATAACGAATTTGATTTCGTAACTCACACTCATTCTCTCTTCTTTCATTTTTTCACACCATGCAAATCATCAACAGGATGAGTAAATTTCAGTCGACAGGAAGGGAACAGTCTTGACTACCATACGAATTACAAAAACACACTATACTACGATATCCCTCGCGTTGGTTGGATCATAAACTTCTTTTTTGTATAACAACACCATATAAACAACAACTTTCATATAGTATTATCGTTTCTATTTTTTTCATTGACCTTGCTTTGGTATGGCATGGCGTGACATGACATGACAATTTCTCCCTCGTCATGCCTCTTTCAYTAGATCGCTTGCTGGATTGTGTTTGAGATAAACCGGGAATGCTCTTCCAGAGACCAATATTGGGAGTGGTGGCTATCCTGACACTAAGTAAGACCTCGGCGTTCAAACATGACAGCATCGATATTAACTACCCAAGACCATTGTAAAGTGTTGGTAGCTGTGGTTTGATTCTAGATCATTGCGCTTCGTAAATAAGCAACYGTAGTACTTTACTAATAATATTATAATTCATTACCTTCAAGTCAGAATAAAAATTTCGATTTCATGTTTCTGCCTACTAGGTAGACATGAAATCGATTCGTAGTACCAGTTTATGGCCTGTTGGATGTGGTGTCTCGTGCTTTTCGTACCCGTTACAAGTATATTGAATTCATTTTGTCTTTCACTGCACATTCCCCCACCCATATTGTACCGACTGCCATATTCTTGTGTCTCATCATTTTAATTCTAYTTTCGMACAAGAKTGTCATCGTTATTGCTATAGTTTTCCATGATGGTAGCAAAGTTAGTGTTGATACTGGTGACGGTGGCAATTGACGCGGTTGGCGTAGCAACGCTCTTGTTCTTGCTGCGGKTTCCTAAATAGGGGCCTTGTTCACGGTTTTTGCGCTCCAARMWGAGGATCTCGAGCTTGAGGCAATCTTCGAAAGCCACCTTTTCATCATCCGAAATGGCGAGGTCGATCTGCTCTCGAAGCTTGGAAATCTTTTTGAGAATGCTGGCCCTGYGAAGAGTGAGTTCGAACGACCGGTCAGGGTCCTCTGAGAATGATTTTCCACTTTCAGTCTTGCTGCAAGTACTGACTCGGAGTTCGTCGGTTTCGTCTTGGGTTCGGACGACAGTCACCAAGGTTTCTTCCCGACTTTCTTTAACGGAAGAATCATCTTTGCCTGCAATAGATGTTGGTTTGAGGATTCGAATAGCAATCCCATCGTTCTCGTCGCTGCTCACAAACGCACATTCCACGCCCTCGTCGTTACCACCATCCCTCGGGTCATTTGCCTTGGTCTTCTTCATCGCCATCGATGAGTGTTCGGATGGTTCCAATCGTGTGGATTGCATCTTATTKTGGTCGATTGATAAGTAGCATACAAGTTGTGATTTATGACCTTGAGTTTTCCTTCTTTTAKYACTGTTGACAAACTGGTCGAATCGAAGGGTTACTATGATCTAATACTGTTACTCAATACTGTAMTATACTGACTAGCGATTGCGATTTATTTTTTGGTTCCACCTCGTGGACTTTAGTATTGGAAAAGAAGTAATGAGCTCTCTATYGTGGGACAAAATTTCTCTCAACAGTCCCACGCCAACCGATTGCCAAGGAGTGGCACGATACGATTCVTTCCTTCCATGTTTCAAATGATGGGAAAATTAATTTGTGAGCTGCTACGAGCGATTGACGACACGCCCAGCGCAAAAGTTTTTATGTATTTCTAGCGCTTGCGCGCTCCAACAWMACRGACAGCTCCACGCGTTGATGTTTGGACACAATTTTCTGTTCTCRCCACTCTAGTACTYGTATGCGGTACGGTCGGAAATAATTTCTGTASTACATGCGGAGCTCTAGAGCCGACAAGAAATGGATCCGTCAGTCATGGCCCAAAATACTGTTTTCGCATCGTACACTCACGTACGTTGCGTTACACTACGGCTACCGGTAGCAATTGGATGCTGAGCCATGTTGAACAAGGTTTTCGGCTTCCAGTGCCAGTATCGTACGCCCCGGTCTATTTGCATTTCGACCACCGAGAACATCGTCGGAATGTACCAGGGTATCAACGTTTTGAAAGAGGCAAAACTGAATAATTGTTGAATACTACTAGACGAGGACTCTGAGTCGAGAGATATTACCAATACCTGCACAATAACATGAGATCGTTCAGTGACATAGGCTCGCTGAGCCTGG